CTCTCGAGCGTCGGCCCAGCTCTGTCGAGAACGCGAGTCAGTGGCGCTTCAACATCGCGTATCGCCCGTTTTAGTCGAAGGTCGGTCAACGCATTCCTGTGGCGAAGATTCTCTAGCTCTTCCTCCTCATCATCTGTCCGTGGCTTGCGACGGATCCGAAGCTCGCCCCAGTAGTAATAGTCATCCTCGTTGACGTCCGGATTTTCATCGGGGAGGGAGCAGTAGCCGTACCGTGTGTTGATCTCCTGAGAGGTTGAATCTGAGATCAGAAGGCGCAAGACTGTCGCCTTGGGATGCAGGTCGAGGTATAGAGCGAGAAGAGTGACCCCTGCGATTCCAGTGGCGATATATGTTCCCCGAGGTAGATTGGCGTCCTCGGGAGTGGATAGGGTTGCGTTGAAGTCCATGTACGAGACGCTCGGTATGATTACCAGTGGTAGAGTTACCAGCGGACTTGCGCTGGAAGGATGAAAAATGCGGGATGGCAGTCAAGGCGAGAGAGGTGTTTGGCATTGCTTGGTTGTGTCATATCTGGTCAACGGATCAGCCGGTCCGAAGCAAACATCTCCTTGTGGCCGCTCGCACAACCGCTCTTTTTCAACAACGAGAACGAAATACGGTTTACTGTAAAGGCATGACAATCATCAAACTTCTCGAGGACAGTTCAACTTTTCAAGATCCGCACCTCTCGTTCGATTGTTCTCGTGGAGGTCTTACAACAAGCCCGCTCGAGCAATCGGATGGGCCGGACTGGATGGGGTACAGAGTAATTGTCCGAGACCTGAGGCTCAGTGGTTGGAGGTGGGTGAGGAGAGCCAGGAGAGCGTGCATCCATTTTCCGTCTTGTAAGCTTAAAAGGGGGTTAAGAGTGGCATTCTGTATGGTTAGAGACCTACACACACAGATTGAACATGATTTGAGCAGAATTTTGCCCGTGTGAAGATGGGAAAAAAATTGAAGAAAATTGCCGGTTCGAACCCCGAACTGAACCGCAGGTTCGGGGTTCAGCAAATGTCTGAACCTGAACCGAAGTCCAGGTTCGGGGTTCGAAAAAAATGGCTCTGAACCGAACTGAACCGAACTTTCCCATCACTACTTAAGGAGTTGCTTTGAATGTCGTTAGACGCCAGTTGATTGTTCCCTGTATCGCCGTCTGATCCCATTACCGCAGCGCAGCAAGGGCGCATGCAATAACAAGCTCTGCCGGCGTCTGTAATTGTCCGTTATGGCCGGCTGATTCATTGACTATCAGCGAGATGCGAGCATGGAGCTGACAAAAATCGTACGCGCCGCAGAATGTGTGGTCACAATCGGATAGGTCATTGAACTTTTGCAGTTGTCGAAGCCGCAGGAAAGACTTCGAACATCGTCGTAAAGTGACCATGTGCCGCAAAAAAAAAAAAAAAAAAAAAAAAAAAAAAAAACCAAGCGCTGTAGGTCAACATTGGGTTAACAAGACTTTGGAAAGACTCATCGCTCTAACGATCAAAATGCGCAGTCGATACGTGGACGCTGCATCCCATCAACGGAACGACGATTCAATGAAACGGCGCCAATGCACTGCCTTGGATGATAGTCCCCGTTTAAAAGTGCTGCCAACTCTGACTCAATTAACCCCCCGCCCATCCCTATTCCTTTACTCGACTATTGGATCGATAGACCTACGAGCCAATAGCGCTGCGTTCTGGAAGCACGTCGTCTCCAGGCAAGAGATCGGCGCACTACAAAAAGCTCGGGAGTTTTTTAGCGCTCGCGTTGACGGGCTGTATCTTCTGGCTTGTGCTGATGTGGTCGCGCAGGAGCACGTACAGCCCGCTAGACAATTATCAAAATACGTGAGTCGCCTGCTCTTCAACCTGGGCACATCCCTCAACGTGAACATGCAGAAATCTGTTACCTGTTACAGCTGAACATGGTTTTGGACGGACACCTTCCACCCGGCGCGCTGTGGTGTCGTCCCTGTATTCGGACGGCTTCGCCATCGCTGTAGCCGTCGTAGGGCACTCCACACGCTCCGCGAACGTCAGCGCACGCCTGCTTCTCCCATACCTGGAAGGCCCGAGCAAGGTCACCCAAAAAGGGCTCTGCATCGTGCGCGCGGTTGGATGGGAGCCATACCCTGTGTCTCGCATCTCCCCGCCTCATGCCGACCAGTACACAAAGCTGCATATCTGGAGGCTGGACGAGATGGGTGTGGACAGTGCTGTGTACGTCGATGCGGACACGGTTGTGCAGCGCAACTTTGAGGAGCTGTTTGACAGTCCATTCAACTTTGCGGCTGTGCCCGACGTGTACGGGGTGGGAGATCCGCAGGGGTTCAGTCTGACATTCAATGCGGGAGTCCTGGCCTATGAGCCATCCTCGGCCGTGTTTGGTGCGTCAAATACTTCGGGGCGGGAATTTGACTGCGGACTGACTGGTTGCCTCGTTTGCAGGAGACATGCGGGAGAAGCTGGAAACTACGGGATATCCGCTGAAGCAAGCTGAACAGGCATTTTTGAACCAATACTTCGGAGGCCCTTGCATGCGCCTGCCTTACATCTACAACGCGAATCTGGCGATCAAAGCCCGAAGCCCAGTGCTGTGGGATCGTTTGGCAGACGAGATGTGTATCGTGCACTATACGGCGCTGAAGCCATTTCTACATGACGGGCGATCATCGGATGTAGTGTTGTCACGGAGGAGGCAATTCAACAGAGCGCGCAGCGAGAGGGCGGCTTTTATCGTGAGGAGGTGGGATGGTGGGAAGAGGCATATCAGAGGATAATGCTTGATCATGGTCAAGCTATCAGACAATGCGACCTCGAGGGGCGAACCTCATCTACTTGAGAGTTTGATTTCACGAAATTGGATAACCACGCAAGCCTGCCGCCGGTACTTGTTCCATTTGTGCCTCAGTGTCCAAATCCGAACACCGCGAAATTTGAGTCTTAGATTTGCATCGGTATCTATACATTCTTCAACATCCCAAAATCAACTAATGTACATGGGAATCAGCGCTTGCCCCCGGTGGGCGCAGCGGAAAAGAAGGTGCCGTTAGCAGGCTCGAACTGGTGACCTCCCAAAACCAAAAACGTAGAAGGGGCGGCGTAACAGAAAGATTGATTGAAGCCGCAAAAAGGCGCACTTAGCAGGATCGAATTGGTGACCTCCCAAAAGCAAAGAGACTCTGGGGGGGGGGGGGGGGATGATACATAAAGTTTGGGAGTTGGAAAGTCCGGGATCAAAAGTCCGGGAACGATCGCCACGGCTGATCGGCAGACCAAACGCCGCCGAGGGGTGTTTGAAGTGCAATGTGCAACATTCTTGTGAACGTCGCAATGTGCGTTGAGCCCAATGTCTCCCGATGCAACCAGCCGAGACATCCCAGCACTGAATCATTGCTACGGCGACCAGACGATGTATTTACATAGAATGGTCACAGTGTGACAATTGTTAACCTTCTGAAATTCAGCGGACAAGTGCGTAGGCACTCGTAGGTGAAATGTGACCAACTGCGCATGCACCGCCAGAATCGCGGGAGCACTGGGATGAGGACCGTCAAAATCAATGCAATACAACCACTAAATGTGTACAGTAACTGACTCGCCTTCCAAAAGTGCTCATGCTTGTCCTTCGTTTGGGCAAAGGACATGTCATGAGCTCCTTCACTCCAAGACTTAAGGTCTAGAAGAAAGACCCGTCAAGACGTGTGGTAAGGACGCGACAGGACGCGACGCGTTTATTAAATATGCGATCGATATTCGAACTCCGACGTATTCCGATCACATCAAAGGTCTGGCCGGCGCGGCCAGACCTGATCGGCGGACTTTTGATCCCGGACTTTCCAACTCCCAAACGGACACGGATGATATCAAAAAGATTCAATTGACTCCGTCTTCAACATTCAACAAGTCTATGGCTAGGGTGTTTGATTTCTGACCTTGGGAGTTGCTAATGTTTATTTGACTGTACTACCAAGGACTGATATAATCATAGCGGCACCTAACTATGTGGACCGTCATCTCAGTGTGCATTTTAAAAAATCCTAATGTACTAGCATGGTGGGATAAAGTAAGGAAGTCTAGGCAACAACCATGGTGAGTATTCATTGGGGTAACATGGACACCGTGCATTGGTCTCTTAACTGAGAATGGTCCTGGCAGATTTCTTGTCTGTGATGTCAATCTGGTGTACAACCATGGTCCATGAAAGCACTCCGGTGAGCGAAAGGTCTTCAAGGCCGAATGTACAAGATGAAGGATGAGCATGATACCTGAGCAGATACATAGGCTTAGCATGAGCCATACCAGTGGGTGTTTGTAATAGCTTGAGCGGGGGTTGCCTTTGGGTTTGGTCACCCACTAGTAGTGACCTTTCTGCTGCCCATGCATGTATGTACAGAGACATTCATGATCTACGGTAGAGAGCTAGGCCACAAACACCCTGGAAATAATCCATCTGGTCGACTGATATATATTACCTCTAGCTGTTGAAACACATCTATGCTGACTCGTAAACAGCTCGACACCCGAAGATACAGCATGGGGGATGATTTCATGAGCACCGCGGACTTCTACATTTTGACAATCTGGGCTTGGAAGATCATGGGAGAAAAAAAGCTCAACTCAGCCGATCATCAGGGTTACTACAACACAACCCATAGCTCCCCCCCTCACCCTCCTCATGTCGGGTGCACAGCGCAATGGCTAGTGTGTTCAATTCTCATCTCCGTCGCCTTGTACATCTAGACCATCTGAGCCTAGAAACTCATAGGGGAAAAAAAGTGCAATTCGGCCAATCATCTGGGTTACTACAACACCACCCATAGCTCTCCCCCTCCCCCTCCTCTCATCGGGTGGATGGTGCAATGGCTAGCACATTTGATTTGGAGGTCCTCCACCTTGTACATCTTGACCATCTGAGCTTAGAAACTCATGGGGGGGAAAAAGTGCAATTCGGCCGATTGTCACGGTTACAACGAAAGCACCCTCGACCCTCGTCCTGTGTCTGCATCCAACGGGTGCGTGGCGCAATGGCTAGCGTGTTTGGCTTCGATGCTGTTTACGTAATACCAAAAGGCTGCAGGTTCGAGTCCTGCCGTGCTCACTTTTGTCTCGTTCCATCCACAGAACCTCCCACTGTCCTTCTTTTTCATTTTTATCCATTTTCCGCTGTGAACACTCCTCTGCCATGTACAGTGTTGCCCTATCTACCAGCTTTGACTCAGCACTCCCATTTTATGTCCATGTGGTATGCAGGACATACCTATATTTATTGCCTGGAACAAATACTCTGAGCACCTCCCACCCATATCATGATGTCAATTTTGTTCTATCAACATGTTCAGGGAAGTAGCCCATTTCAATAGAGGCAGTGGACGTTGGTGTTGTTTCAGTATGATAAGTGAGCGCCCTGTGTCAACTGCCCAATGTGAATGGATGAGGAGATGACCATCATGATACTTCAGCCGAGAAACAAGATATCCAGCATGATTCATCAGAAAGTATGTGTGGAGGCTTGAAATGCATCGGCTATTGGAAGGCCCTGAAGATTGAATGGAGTTTCTGTGCTGCGAGGTGACGGTATGGTTGACTTGAGGTATGTATGTTCAATGATAGAAGTATGTAGGTTTGCAAATGATACCTTAGCTTGCTTAGCCTATACCTGTAATGGCTGGTCACCATCTATCGCATGGAGGATCATTAATCACCCACCACCTTTCCAGAATGCAAATTTGAAGATTACAATTGGATGTCAATCCTTCTGTTCGAATTCTTTCTTGTTCCAAGAACGGAGACCAGAGAATACCGCGAGCCATCGATAGAGAATGGCATGTGTAATGCGGGGGAGGGCTGCGCGAGGGTCGTTTTTATTATGCCATTACATGGAACATCGGACGGGGATAGTATGGAGTCGGCCATCACTGTTCATTGTGGGACCGGCGCCAATGTTGGGTTTGTGTTGGGTCGGCCTTCGAAAAAATAACAGCAAGGGAATGGAGAACATAGTAAGATTGGGAATTCTCACCTTGTGCCGTGCTTCAACGAATGCCCGCGAGGGAGCCTTGATCGCCGGGTCGATGATGATTGCCGGAGGCACAGCCACCGGCGCGCTCCAGCCAAACACGCTAGCCATTGCGCCACGCAAGCCTTTTGATCGTAACCCTTTGGCCGCCTTCATCTTGCCTTCATCCTTGCTTCATCCGCTCATTTTCCTAACCGTCACCATTCTCCACGCCGACCCATCGCCTTTCTTTCCCTCTGTCTTTTCCGCTTGGACGAAGCTTGCGACGCATGACATCCGAGTGGCATCGTCCCAGCATCGTCTGACCATCGCTCGGCGCTGAATCCCCAATTCATTCTTGAGTCGCACCGCTGGCACAATCGAATCTCCAGGAGGCGTGTGTTGCCCCTTCTGGAGAAGCTTTGTACCGGACCACTGCTCCGAGACGGGCTGGTTTCGGCCCCGTCGCTGCGTGCGCCGTTGTGCCACCACGGTGTCCGGTTTAATGCTACTGCTTTTCGGGCGGTGAGGACATGAAACACAGCACAATGAGCAAAGCTCTAATCGCCCTTCTTTAGATTCTTCAAAGGAATCGTTCGATGGCAATCCGGCTCGTTGATTTCTGTGGCGGCGAGATTGTGTTGCGAACGCGCCCGACGAGTCACGGCTGGCATCGAGCACGACACAAGCGTCCAATGTGACGCCATGCCTACTTCTCTATCGCAAAGCATGGTATCTGCTCTATCCCACCGTCGTGTCTTGGCAAGGCGCTGCCCTTATGCCGCAGTCTTCCTCATTTCCCAGCCAAGTTTCGAACGGGACAATGTCATATTTGTCGGTGTCTCTCTCTTCGCTCTGCCAAAACAACACCCGCGAGCCTGAAACGCATCGCAATATACAGCGATCTCGGGCGTATGCACGCCTGTACTAATCTGTTCCCGATCGTCTGTCCCGCTTCCGCTCCCGCTTCGTACTGATTACTTTCTCGAGGCAGTTTTATGGACGGTTCCTGCTGATAAGACCTTTGCATGGTCACGATGCGTCAAGGCTAAGGATAGCACGCACACGGCCCGACTTTCCTCGCCGAACTTTTCAATCTCTGGCATAACATTTTCTTTTTTTTGTGGGATACCAATCCCCAAGTGCGTCGCGTGCCTTGGTTCCTCATCCTTACCGTGCTGAAATCCGTTTTAGATCCTTCAGCACTGCCTCGGGACCGTTGTAAACTGCGCCACCGACCGTCCTGAACACTCGCAGAAGGTAATATTGGCCTTGATAGGCGTCGATTCTCGCAATATACGCCGTTGCCAGTTGCGCAAATATTAGTCACAACACTTGGTCCAGTGGATTGGATCGTGAAGCCGGTTATAAATTCACGTATCCAGTTTCGCCGTGGCCAGCCGCCTAACGAGGTCCCGGTACCGAACGTACTTGGAACTGGTTGTCCCAATGTCCGCGATCCCACACTTTTTGTGTCCTGCGAACGCTTCGCGCTCTGGATTCAATGGCGCCAATCGCTCGGTGCGTTCTCATCGTACTCCGCCGAGTGATGCGTGCGGTCGGGGGAAATGTGCCATGTGATTGAAGATTTGGCTGTCTTCTTCCTTCTCAGAGGACAACGGGGCATGCGAGGGCTGACAGAAGGAGACAGACTGCAACGACGACGACAACGCCCCGGGCCGGAGCTTTTGAGAAACAAATTTCGACAGACTATGTGTTAGATTTTATCATTCGTTAGGCGGCAAGTCGTGATTTAGTGAAATTCGGGGTACGTTCTGACTTAGACGAAACAGCGTTTGACATTCAACAGTCTCATAACGTTGAGGATGGCTTTAACCTATCTGAACATTCGATATTTGGCCGCGCGCCCCTTGTTTATTTCCCATATCCCACCCTTCCATCCCTGTGCTTCGCAGACCCTCCTTGGACTTTCATTGTCACCTCCCCTCTGCTCCCCCGCGCTCGCAGTGTCCAACCTCATCGTCTGGCCCTCCCAGTCACAGATGACTGATCTCCCCCGCCTCGCCATTCCGGCTCACCGCCCTCTCGAGCCTCAGGCTAGCCAGTCGCAACTCACACCGGAGCAGATAAGTGAGGTGGATATTGGCGAGTACCGCGAGCAAGACCGCTTCCTCCCTGTTCGTGTTGAGACCCGCCTGTCTCCCGTGCAACGCTCACACCCCCCAGATCGCCAATGTCTCCCGCATAATGAAGGCCGCGGTGCCGCCCAGTACCAAGATCGGCAAGGACGCGAAGGAGTGCGTGCAGGAGTGCGTCTCGGAATTCATCTCGTTCATCACATCCGAGGCGGCCGAGCGCTCGCTGCTCGAGAAACGCAAGACTATCGGCGGGGAGGACATCCTGTACGCCATGGGCACCCTCGGATTCGACAATTACGCGGAGGTGCTCAAGATCTATCTCGCTAAACTTCGAGAGGTGATTGATTAGTCCGTGTGGGTGGTTGGTATGCGCTGACGCACCATTAACAGCATCAGACCGGCGCGAGGACCGAACAACATATTGAGCCGCGGGTTGACTGACCGCAGATGACTCGGGATGACGCACTCACACATGCTTAACCATATCTATCGGCGCCTGCGGCCAACGTGTATCTGGGCTTCTTGTATTTGGGTTGGGCTTTAATTTTATGCTTGCTTATCTATCACAGATACCTGTTCTCGACGTGGCATATGCAGGCATTTATATTCCGCATTGACAGCCCCCAGATGCCGTTGGTTGCATTAATCTCTTTCAAGTTACAGACCGGCAAGAGCACATGCACCTGAGCAACATCGCCGCTGTGTCGTAGCCGCGGCAACGATTTTGCTCTACAGTCATGACCAGACGAATCTTCGACGAGGGTTATGTCCTCCTCCGTCGTGGCGTTCGGAGAACCATCTCTTTTGTTCCCTTCGCATCGCCGCTTCCACCCCAGCGATTCCACTTATAGACTCTCGGTTTATTCGCTCGGACCGGCAGACTTCAAGTTGTTTCAACCTCAACCCGAAGGTTCTCGTTCGAAACAATCCAGTTGCAAGTTGGGTCTTTCGAAACCCTCATGAGACGTGCACCACATCCTCTTGACCCAACGCTGGAGTTTCAGCAAGCCCTCCACTCCAATGTCTCACATTCCTCTTCCGCCAAATTCCGCACTCCATGCGGGTTTCACGGCCGATCGATCGAGATTTTCTGAGACTCTCCTTTCCGCACCTCATATAAAGACCCGCGGGATGCTCGGTGCGCCGCTGTTCCACTTTCAATCTCTCTCCTCCATCATGAACTTCTCTATTCTTACGACCACTTTTTCTCTCTTCTTCATCATGATGGTTCGCGCTGCGCCGCCCACCCGGGCAAGCTGCAGCCAAGGTCGTACGGCGGCTAGCGCCCAGGTATGTCACTCTTCTCATGTTGCTGGCCCCTCTTAAGTCCCTGGCCAGTGTTGTGTCTGGTACGATGTTCTAGACGACCTTCAAGCAAACGTGTTCGTCCTCGTTTCCTGCATTTACCTGTCGCTTATTGATGCCCCCTTATATCAGATTCAACGGCGGATCCTGCGGTAAGATCAAAACTCGGAGCCCAAGTCTTCTTGCTTAGCTGTTGGAACCAGACGACGAAGCTCCCGATGCGCTCCGGGTAGGTGAAGCTCACCCTCTGCATTGCTCACACTGAGGCCGTTGCTCGAAGCTCTCCTTTCACGACGCCGTCGGCATCTCCGCCCTGCTCAAAAAACAGAACAAGTTTGGGTACGTCCTGACCATTGAATCCCAGTCTCCGGGTGCTGACTGCTTTCCTTAGTGGCGGTGGTGCTGGTCCGCGCTCTGCGTCCTCCACTGAAGCCTAAGCTGACCCTCGTTTGCCAGATGGTTCCATCATCGCATTCTCGGGCATTGAGCTAGCCTATGGTTCTAACGTATGTGGTATTTATCCTTCCTTCTTTTCAACTCTCACCAAGTCGCAGGTGGGCTTGGCCACCATCGTGGCCGCCGAGCGGACAGTCGCGGACGCCCACAACGTTTCATACGGCGACATTGTTCAATTCGCAGCAGCGGTTGGCGTGCGCAACTGCCAGAACGGCCCTCGCATTCCGTTCATGGCCGGCCGCC